CCCCCCCCTTCTCCTTGTGCACACACGGACGGACCTCTCCCATCCGTCATGCCTGCGCTGCCCGTCTGCCCGGCCGGCGCAGCTCCTGGACCCCTGTGCGCGCCCGGCCGTCTCCGTCCGCCTGGCCTGTGCGCCCGCCGCGTCCATCCAGACACCTCTCTGCGTCTGTCATCAGTCTCCCTGCCTGCCTGCCTACCTACCTGCCTGCCTACCTACCTACCAGTCTGCCCTGCACGCCCTCTGTCTCTCTCTCCATCCATGCGCACACGTGTTACCCAGCGCTCTGCTCGCCCACCCACCCGCCCCACATACTGTCCATCCATCCACCCCTGTGCTGCCCATCGAGCTGTTCATCCATCCGTCTCTCTCTTCGTCCATGCATGCCCCCGCGCACACGCCTGTCCGTCCGTGCACACGTCTGTTACAAATTCCCACGCAGCGAGGGTTGAAAGGAGCTCAGGGGTCGCATCCAGTCCAAGCGCCTGCTTCGCCTCCGTCATCCCAGCCGGGGCTCTGTCTACCCGGGTCTGTTCTCTCTCTCCCTATTTATCTCTCTGGCTATACCTACTCCATCCATCTATCCATCTCCATACATCTCTGCACGGGCATCCATGCACACCTCTGTTACCCATCCGTCCGTCCGTCCGTCTGTCCCCACACACCTCAGTCCATTGCTCCATCCGTGCACACCTCCACCATCCATCTCTCCATCTAGACCTCCTCCATCCTTCCACTCATCCATGCACCCATCCATCCATCTCCACCCCCATCCATCTGTCTCTGCATCCATACACACCTCCATCCATCCATCCATCTGCACACACACCCATCTATTTGCCCATCCATCCATCTCCAAAGACATCTCTCCATCCATCCATCTATCTCTATCCATCCATCCCCACACGCCACTATTATCCATCCATCCATCCTATGCACCTGACCTATGCATCCCTCTCTGCCTCCATCCCCGTAGCTACCCCCAGCTCCCTCTCTGCCCCATGGCTTCTCCACCAGGCACCAGGGCGCCCTGGGGTCCCCCGAGACCCTTACCAGGGTACCGCAGGCACCACCCCATGAGTCCTGAGGTAGAGCAGAGGCGCTGGGTCCCAGCCCAGCCGGAGGTGGGCGCCTTCCTCCCCAGTGTTCGATGGGGTCGTTCCCCTCTTTCTTCTGTTCCACCCTAGAGCTGGCTGCATCTGGGCAACTCCAGGCAGGACCTGTGCCATCAGGCTCGTCCTGCACACCGCAGGCACGTCCCCAGACCAAATCCTGTGTGTCCTTCCATCCAACCAGCCTATCACTCCTGCATCCGCCCACGTCTCCGTCCACCCCTGACCCGCCACCTTCTCTCTCCCCGGCAGGGCCTGGCCAGGATGGATGAGGCTGGGGAGGCCAGCGTGGAGGTGAAGCTGGAGGGCGACTCCTCCTCCAATGAGGAAGAGGAGGAGGAGGCAGCGGCCGCAGGGGCCTCCTATGCCCGCTGCGGCCGCCGCTACAAGTGCCTGGCTTGCGGCAAGACCTTCCCCAACGTGCCCCGTGTCCAGCGCCATGCCCGCTCCCACGCTGCCGGCACCGCGCCACCTGCCCACCCCTGCCCCTCCTGCCCCAAGGCTTTCACTGACCGGGTCCAGCTCCGCAAGCACCAAGCCAGCCACTCCTCAGCCCGCCCCTTCCAGTGCGGCCAGTGCGCCAAGGCCTACAAGACGGCACCGGAGCTGCGCAGCCACGGCCGGAGCCACACGGGGGAGAAGCCCTTTGTGTGCCAGGAGTGCGGCAAAGCTTTCATGCAGCCCGTCTGCCTCCGGGTCCACCTGGCCCGCCACGCCGGCGACCTGCCCTTCCGGTGCCCACAGTGTGCCAAGGCCTACGGCACCCTCTCCAAGCTGAAGATCCACCAGCGGGCTCACACTGGGGAGAAGCCATATGCCTGCGGGGACTGCGGGAAGGCCTTCGCCGACCCCTCGGTCTACCGCAAGCACCGGCGGACCCACGCGGGGCTGCGGCCCTACCAGTGCGGGGCCTGCCAGAAGACTTACGCCGAGCTCAAGGACCTCAAGAACCACGAGCGCAGCCACACAGGCGAGAAGCCGTTCCTTTGCGCCGACTGCGGGAAGGCCTTCTCCCGCTCCTCCTCCCTGGCTTGCCACCAGCGCATCCACGCGGCCCACAAGCCCTACCGCTGCGACGACTGCGGGAAGGGCTTCACCCAGCTCTCCTCCTACCAGAGCCACCAGCGCACCCACTCCGGGGAGAAGCCCTACCTCTGCCCCCAGTGCGGCCGCATGTTCTCCGACCCCTCCAGCTACCGGCGCCACCAGCGGGCGCACCTGGGGGTCAAGCCCTACGGCTGCGACAAGTGCGGCAAGGTTGGTTCTCGGGAGTGGGGAGAAAGGGACTAGGGCTGTCAAAATGACTGTATTTGGTATCGCTTCTCATGCCCAGAATCTAATGACGGGGAAAACGGGGCCGTGTATGCCTTCTCCAGTGATTGGGGGGGGTTCTTTTCAATTCAGAGAAATGAATTACTATATTTACTTGAATCTAAGACCCTCCCCCTCCCTCCCCGTCATTAGATTCTGGTCACAGCGGGTGCTCAAATTTGTTACCGTTTCCCATGTTGAGAATCTGCTGATTGTGGGGGGGGGTCATAAATTCTAGTAAATACGGTACCCGGAATACGGTGCCCGGGTCCGGTCGCCATTCCTCCATGCCCCACCCAACCTCAGCGATGGGTGTCAGGACTTACATGCCCCACACAGCCCCAACAATAGGTGTCAAGGCCTACGTGCCCCACCCAAACCCAACGGCAGGGCCTAGATGCCCCATGCAATCCCAACAATGGGTGTCAGGGCCTAGGTAACCCACCCAAACCCAACAGCGAGGCCTACATGCCCCACCCAACCCCAGCGATGGGTGTTGGGGCCTACATGCCCCACTCAGCCCCAGTGATGGGTGTCCAGGCCATGAGGGACCTAGGCTGGACCCAACCCAAAGCAGCTCTTCATGGTCTTTTGTCCTCCCACCCTTCAGGCCTTCCGACAGCCGGCCGACCTGGCCATGCATCACCGCGTGCACACAGGTGAACGCCCCTACAAGTGTCCCCAGTGCGAGAAGACCTTCGTGGCCTCCTGGGATCTCAAGCGGCACCGGCTGGCCCACTCGGGCCACCGCCCCTTCCAGTGCGGGGAGTGCGGCAAGAGTTTCGCCGAGCGTGCCAGCCTCACCAAGCACCATCGCGTGCACTCTGGTGAACGCCCCTACACCTGCGGGCGCTGCGGGAAGGCCTTTGTGGTGTCCTCCAGCCTCCGCAAGCACGAGAGGACCCACGGGGACCGGGCCGGGGACGAGGGGGGTGGCAGGGCTGGCCTAGATGCCCCATTCAACGTCAACCATGGCCGGCAGGGCCTAGATGTCCCATTCGCCACCGGCTACCCCCCGTTGGGGCTGGAGGTGCCCGCCCAAGGCCCCAACCA